ACACACACACACACTGCTCCCCATACACACACACTGCCCCCCATACACACATACTACACCATACACACAATTACCCCCACACACACACTGTACCCCTCACACACACACACTGCACCCCATACACACACACTGCCCCATACCCACAATTACTCCCTATACACACACACTGCCCCATACACACAATTACCCCCATACACACACATTGCCCCCCATACACACTGATTCCCCATACACACACACTGTACCCCTCACACACACCACCCCCACACACCGCACCCCCTGCACACACACTGCACCCTCCACACAAACATTGTACCCTCACACAACCTGCCCCACAAACACTGTACCCCTTATGAGTAAACTGACCCACATACATACACACTGCACCCCTCACACACACATACACAATCCAACCCTCACGCACACATATTGCACCCCTCACTACACACACCCACAACAGCCCCTATCCCAGCAGACCCCAGGTAAGTTGTCAAACTGTTTTTAAACAGTTTGACTACTTACCCTAGGAGGGCACTATGGCACTACAGGAACCATAACCACTACAATGTAATGTAGTGGTTATTGTACCTGGATTACTTCTTTAAATAATCTACCAGTGACACTCTCAAGATTAGGTTTTCTATCTGTGCCTGAACGGCAAGCATTTCTGACAAACAGGGGTCCAGCATAGGCAGCAGCGCTGTACATATATACAACCTAGAAAATTGTTTTGACTTGGGGTGCCTTAGAATAATATTGAAATGTTAAGGGCGCCTTGAACCCAAAAAGTTTGGGAACCACTGCACTTAACTAAACTACAAACTGTAACAAATTAAATATAAACTGTAAAATTCAAAGGTGCCTAGAGCTGAGTTAGAGGCAGAGTTTTTCCAGATCAGCCATTGATGCATAAAAGTTGCTATTTGGATTCCTATTTGCTGCAATTCATAGTATAGTGATATGCTGAATGAGTTGGATGATTTCCAATTCAGTTGATTTGGGCTTAAATTTGCTATTTTGTCAATTCTCCTTTTAGTTAACCCATAAGAACCATAATAATTAAGGATAAAAACAATGATACTAGTCCATTATTCTAATTCATGAGTAAAATGTAAAAATACATTCTGATCAGATTGCCTTCCTACTTTCTGTCCTCTTGGGGGAGCTCCAAGGGATATTCCTTTCATTTACTGTTCTGAGTTCTGAATCCAAACAAAAACCATACACATTCACATGGTTATTTACTGAAGTGAGAATTCAAAATGTATTTAAAATTTTAACTGAAAACAAAATTTTAATTTTCTAGTTCGGCTAGTCCAACCTTAAATTTTAAATCCACTTAGAATTCTCACTTTAGTGCATGACCCTGATAGGGTTATTCACCAATTATTATTATTATTGCTATTTATAAAGCGCCAACAGATTCCGTAGCGCATCACACTATTATGAGAGGGGGGATTTAACTATTCTTCTTATTATTATTATGATATTTATAGAGCGCCGTCAAATTCTGCAGCGCTTTACAATGGGTGGACGAACAGACATGTATTTGTAACCAGACAAGTTGGACACACAGGAACAGAGGGGTTGAGGGCCTTGCTCAATGAGCTTACATGCTAGAGGGAGTGGGGTAAAATGACACAAAAAGGTAAGGATAGTATGAATAGGACAATTACAAGAAAACTTACAGGAACGATAGGTTGAAGAGGACCCTGCTCAAATGAGCTTCCAGTCTAGGAGGTGGGGTATAAAACACATTAGGACAGGAAAGTGAATTTTCAAAGTTTAGGCATAATTAGCTGAATCAGAAATATTCTCCACGTCAGTTCAATTTTCCATTTGTCCCTATATTTGAAATTCAATTTGAATTCTCAGCAATTCTCACTTCAGTGAATAGTCCAGTTTGTATTGCATAACACTGAACACTGTTATTACAATAATAGTTTGTTTTATTTCTAAAATGTTTTATATTGTGTGCTATACTGCCTAGTGTAGTTAATAACAGAATAATGGAATTGCAAAAATAGCCGAGCAGTGACTACAGCTGAATTTGAGAATATTTCCAAAAATGTTTTCTTTTCATTTCACTACAATTATTTTGAAAAAAAGATTCTCCAACTACCTTATAGTTAGACATAATTAATTTTCTTTTTGCAATTTGCTTTAAAATTCATTAGAAACAAAAAAAACCTAGATTTATTCACTAACCTAAAAATCACAGAGAACTGGCAAGAAAATTGTAAATATGCCAAAATAGTCAAAGAAAATTCTCCAGTTTGAATTTTTTTGGCTTAAAAGTTGCAACTTTCTTGTCAACATTCCATGATTCCTTTTTTATAGAATACATTCCTGCACTGTATACAATGCTGGCCTGGAGTAATATTATAAATTATAATAAAAATATATATATTTAATATACCTTATACACATATATAAATAATGAACTAATAAGCTAGGTAGTCACCCTAAACAGCATTGGTGCATGTACATTTTGCATACTTTGCTACATATGTATTTATTCCTGTTCGTAATATGACAAGACTTCCCCTTTTTAGGCTGTGAGATTGTGCAGTGGCAATGTGTCCCTTAAAATATATTTGAGTGCACACACCTACTGTACTATAATGCATCCCCCACTTTCATTCATTCACTCCAGGTCCTGTGTACAGCAGTTCAGTGCCCCTTGTATTATCCAACAATAACGTGTCAAATGAATTTCACTGTTATGGGAACAGGTTTCTTGCACAACAAAACCACCCTGCAGAGTAAATCCTTGCTCATTCTCCTCAGTCTTGTATTCTAAATTAGATATTGGTCCATTTTTCTTGCCTTTGGCTTTTTTTTAATTCCCTTTGAAAGAAAAAAATTCTCATTGTATATGCATCCTCCAACCCCCACTGTTGTCTCATCTGCTGTCCATCCCCCACAAAGACACAGGCAAATCCTTCCCCCTCCACAGCATACCTTACAATCATTCTACATGCAAAGCCCAATTCACAAATACATCTGCCATTTCAACTGTCCATTCATTGTTTCAACCTTCAGTGGCTGGTGTTATGCCATCAACCAGGGTGGCTTAATGGCTTATAGGCATTCAGATGTGACATTTCACTTTATACACACCCATCCCTTTTTTATAATGATCATTTAATACTAAAACAAAGTGCAGACAATGTGTTTATTTTGTTTACACAAAAGTCTACTTATATGATATAAACAAAACACTCCACCCATCCCATCACAGACATGTACAGCGCTACGGAATTTGCTGGCGCTATATAAATAATAAAATAATAGTAATAATAACAATGCAAACACCAATCCAAAGACATGGCCACACTTATGGATATAGAGACATACTCACAGACACTTGTATAACAAGATACAAAACAAAAGGTGTAAATTAACAGGGTTATTGTTTCTTTAAAGGGAACATCTAAACACCATAAGAACTTCATCTCAATTTAATTTTCAAATGGTTTAACACTAAATGAGGGTCTTGACATCTCCATCCTCACTGGAGGTATTGCTAATGTGGTTACACCGAGCAGAGCATTAGTCATACCCATCCATGCCAGCAATGGGCACCAGTAATAGGCTAGGAGCAGTCAGTTGATGTTCCCAGTCTATCACTGATGCCGATCGCTTACCAGAATCATTGCCAAATGTGGACGAATTAGATTGCATAGCATAGAAGACTCTCTTTTCCATAACCCTTCAAGGAGGTGAAATGTTTTGGAGCCTAGATTGTTTTTTTAATGTCCCAGGTGTCCTTCTTGCATTGGTTCATAACAGGAAAATTGTCAAGTTGACCACGTTATTTAATCAGGAGGACGTGCTGTATATATTGGCATGTTAGGAATGCTAGATAATCTAAAGATCCCACTGATGAATACATCTGTTATCATTATGTGCCATTCAAAAACTGCCAACATTTTCTACAAAGTTGTAAAACGGTTCATGAGCCAGACAAATAAATTCAACAACGTAAGTTTGATTTACATGGAGCAAGAGATGGTTGAGGCCTTGCTTAAACAAGCTCACAAAATTGTTTTGTTTTTTTTGCAGCGCTTTACATAAATAAATATGTCAGTTGTGATATAGTCTGTTCGTTTACAAAATTGTTAATTTTAGTTCAACAAATATGTCAAATTCTGTTTCTGATAATTTTTAAAAGCAGGTTTAAAGTCAACATAATTCTCAATTAGGTTTATTAATTAAAATGGAAATAGCTGAGAATTGGCCAAGGATGTTATTTTTATTATTATTATTATTTTATTATTTATATAGCGCCAACAAATTCCATAGCGCTGTACAATGGGTGGACTAACAGACACATAATGGATGTTGTAAAATATACCAAAATAGTCATGCTTGCAATAATAGCAAAGATGGAAAATGTTTACAATATGGAAATTTATCCTCAATTTTCAATTTAGTCTGTAACCTAAACCTAACAGATTTTGTAGCTCTTAACATTTGTGGCCAGTAGATGGCCCTGCTGAACATACTAATGTACATGTTATTGAATACAATCACCTCTTTCAAACTGTAGAACAAACATAAAACCACTAAAATAATCTTTGCAAACTGCCTCAGATAATTTAGTGGTTAATGAATCACGGTGGTATTGCTTTTCACTTTGGCAGATTTGGTTCTAGATCATTCATTTTTTTCTTCATGTACAATTTATGTTGAATCACACTGTGCACCTTTGTGATTTTTCTAATATTTTTGCTCCTGTATACAGAAGCATGTGTGGCAAAAATTAGTGCTCAGTCTAAAAAGGCCTATAGGTTGACTCAAACTAGACTTGGGCCAAGTGATGTTCCATAACAATCTGAAAATTAACATCCTTGGTCTTCAAAACAGTGAACTCTGATACAGAGTGTTTCTGAACTCACTGATATCAATAGAAAATTAAGGATATTATGTTTGTTGATAGTTAGTAACTAGTGATGTCCCGAACGGTTCGCCGCGGTTCGCCGCAACTCCAGTCAGCAGACACATTCCAGCCGATCAGCAGCAGACCCTCCCTCCCAGACCCTCCCACCTCCTGGACAGCATCCATTTTGCAGCTGCATTCTTAGTGAGCTGTCCAGGAGGTGGGAGGGTCTGGGAGGGAGGGTCTGCTGCTGATTGGCTGGAATGTGTCTGCTGACTGGAGTCCGCAGCAAACCGTTCGTGGCGAACCGTGGCGAACCGTGGCGAACCGTGGCGAACCGTTCGCGAACCATTCAGCGAACCGTTCGGGACATCAATATTAGTAACATGTTCAGCCTGAAGCTTAATATTAAGGATAGGGTAAATTCAGCTGAGCCATTTTCAGGAGTTGATGTAAAATTCTGAGGAGAATCTAACTCTAATAAGTGATTTGTGGCCTAATAGCATATGATTTCTCTAACATAATCCCTTATTTTTTAGTGGTAGCTAATCCTGCAGAACAGTAGTGATTTGGGGCAGAGGTATTGCGAGGATCTGGAAATGCCTGGTGTTTGAGATCAAAAGAAAACTTGGTGACCCCTCCACTAACAATGAGGCAGGAATTTGTCATGACATATTATGGCCGTTTCTATGTTATTCCACCTCCTGTCTAATCATGAACAATGTATTGCTAATTCTCTCCAGGATCTCACTGAAAACAGCCCAAAAAAGCACATGCTGCACAGTCAGGAATTCAATTTGATCCCACCATGTTACCTAATTAATAGAGGGGTGTGCAAAGCTCTGTTCTCCAACGTCCCCTCCTGATAGTCAAACGGGGCACAACACCCTCCCACTAATTAGCCAAATAGAGCACTATAATACCGATTTTTCTTTTTATAATAAGTAGACTTGTGCACAGTGGAAACATCAGCTGAATTGATTCGTACAAAAAAATACATTTGTTTGACTAGACCGATATTCGTACATTTGCCGGTTCAGCTCGTCCGGACATTGCCTATGCAAAATATACAGGAAAATGCTTTAAACAAAAATAGGCCAATCACTGTACTGCAATATATAAATATTATGTATATAATTTCAAGCACACCGATAGGCACATTTCCACACCATTTGATTCACAGATAAAATGAGAAAAGTTAAAGGAACACTATAGGGTCAGGAACACAAACATGTATTTCTCACCCTATAGTGTTAAAACCATCATCTAGCCCCACCTGACCCTCTCTTGCCTCCCTAGATATAGTAAAATCTTACTTGTATACAAGTCTGCAGCTGCTGCCTCTGCCTCTGACCTGCCTGCTCTCTGATGACATCATCAGAAGGGGTGTTCTGAATCAATCATAATGCTTCCCCATAGGATTGGCTGAGACTGTCAAGGAGGCAGATCAGGGGCAGAGCCAGCACAAGTCAAACAGAGCCCTGTCCAATCAGCATCTCCTCATAGAGATGAATTGAATCAATGCATCTCTATGAGGAAAGTTCATTGCCTGCATGCAAATGGTGGACACCATGAATTGCAGTGCTGCACACTAGGAAGCACTGCACCAGGAAGCACCTCTATCAGTCATCTGAGAAGTGGCCAGTGGAGTCATCACTAGGCTGTAATGTAAACACTGCATTTTCTCTGAAAAGACGGTTTTTACTGCAAAAAGCCTGGAGGGAATGATGCTACTCACCAGAACAAATACAATAAGCTGTAGTTGTTCTCGTGACTATAGTGTCCCTTTAACTAATAGAGGGGAAAATGGCAGAGCAGTAAAGAAATGTGTTCTTACATGCCTATATATTTATTAAATATACAATTTAAAAATAAATACACATATATATATATATATTACTGCTCCTTTTTTTCTGTCTAATAGTCACTTCACATTTGATTTGTGAATAAAACCTCAGCTCTTTTCAAACCAAACGCACAAGCATAATAATAGGCATATCCGCCAAACTACTCCTCCGCTCTTATTCCATGGCAGTCCTGTGCAAATTTATCCTAACATGTCTTGGATGACTCTCCAAGCCAGGAGAGTACTAAAGCCCATCCCTGACCAGCTACAAGTTGGCAATATACGCTACCGCTGGGGCTTCCCCTTCGTGCTAATTGTCTCGATGCGAGGGCAGACAAACACCATCTCCATCCCACAAGATGTGTAACCCTTCGTGTAAGTTCTAGAGCTTCAAGACATGCACATTCCTGAATGGTACTCACAGTCCAGTCTTCTGCCGCCCAGAACCTCCCTCAGTGGCAACTCTGGCATTCTGCTGCAAAGAAGAGGCGACCTAAACTAAACCCCTATAGTCTTAACCACATCCAAGCAACTCATGAGGCAGATTTTTACATAACCCTCCACTTTTTGGTGCCCACTCGAAACCACCCACCCGCCCGCAGTGCGTATGGTAAACAGCTACTCCCCACATACCTTCATTCTTCCTACCGGGAGACCCTGATTGGGGTAATTTGGTTATTCACTATTAAGAAAAAAATAAAATAATAATAAAATAAATAAATATATAAAATAAATATATACATATTTCTAGTTGCTTACCTAAGATTACAGTTAAGGGGGATGCTTCTCAGCCACAATAGGTAGGTACAAGGTATAAGACACTGCCTCTCCCTTAGGGCAGTGTCAGTTCATTGACTCTGGTTCTGCTGTCTGGTTCCTGTTTTGCTCCTGACCTTGGCTTATTTACATCATGTATCCTGACTTCTAGCTTCCTCTGACCTTGGCTTTCTTACCGTGTATCCTGACTTCTGGCATCCTCTAACTTTGGCTTACCCTCATTTATCCTGACTTCGGGCATCCTCTAACTTTGGCTTACCCTCGATGATTCTCCTGCTTGTGTCCTTACCTGTACTGTAACTTGGAGCAATATCCTGCACAGCTCCTGTGCACAGACTCAGAGGCCAGGTGAATTCTTACCTGACCACCTCGGCCTGTGTTTAATTGCAAGGGTGAGCATAAATTTCTGCCTACCGGACTCTCAACTAAGGTAAGCATTGAAAGTTGCGAATGCCTACCCTGTGAGAACTACTAAAGCAAAGGGTACTGTTGGTGCTGTGTTTCCCAAAAATCTGGAAGTCTGTACATATGGCATGGATGCATATAGGAGAACCTACCTCCTGCCAGAGAATGTTTCTGACCTTTCAGAGGAAGGGGGTGAATCTGACCTCTATGAAGAACCTGTTCACGCCCAGAGGGCATTCTTAAAGAGGGGTGGGGGGGGGGGTACTGTCACAGTTCTCACCATGACATCCAGACAAGATAACCCCAGAAGGGCCCAACAGGGAATTTGAACCTGAGGCCTTATGCATCCCAAGTCTGCATTACTGCCTCTGGCTTCCACTCCCAACATTCCACAGAGACTGCCCTGACCAAGGTGACTTATAATTTATTGAAGGCTAAATCCAAAGGCTATTATTCACTACTTATTATTCTTGAGCTTTCTGCTGCTTTCAACACTGTTGGCAACCCACTTCACATGGATTGCGGGATAAAACTTACCAGGAAAGGTTAAAGGATCTTAACATGTATAGCTTGGAGGAAAGACGAGACAGGGGGGATATGATAGAAACATTTAAATATATAAAGGGAATCAACACAGTAAAGGAGGAGACTATATTTAAAAGAAGAAAAACTACCACAACAAGAGGACATAGTCTTAAATTAGAGGGACAAAGGTTTAAAAATAATATCAGGAAGTATTACTTTACTGAGAGGATAGTGGATGCATGGAATAGCCTTCCAGCTGAAGTGGTAGATGTTAACACAGTAAAGAAGTTTAAGCATGCGTGGGATAGGCATAAGGCTATCCTAACTATAAGATAAGACTAGGGACTAATGAAAGTATTTAGAAAATTGGGCAGACTAGATGGGCCGAATGGTTCTTATCTGCCGTCACATTCTATGTTTCTATGTTTCTCATGCTTACCCTTCACAACCTCAACCTCTCTTTCCTGTTCTCTTCCTCTCTGACAGTTACTTCCCTCGTTTGGAGTTTGTTCTACATTGCCATTGCCTCGCTGCCTGGGCCCCACATTCCCCATCTGTAGCAGCGGAACTTCCGCCGGTGCAGCTAAACCAGGGCCTGCAGCTGATGAGGCCCATCGGGTGGCCCATGCACTTAGGGCCACCCAATGGGCACATGTGTTCAGGGGCCCGGTCAGCGCTGAGGCAGTGCATAGCGTGACCAGGCCCCTTTAAAAATGCCAGACGCAAGTACTGCTGGGAGGAAATTACGGCCTGTCTATCTGTATGTCAGTATGTATGTGTGTATGTCTATCTGTATGTATGTATATGTGTGTCTGTATGTATGTCTGTCCGTCTGCATGTCAGTATGTATGTGTGTGTCTGTCTGTATGTCAGTATGTACATGTGTGTCTGCATGTATCTGTATGTCAGTATGTGTGTATTTGTGTGTGTCAGTATGTATGTCAGGAATGTCTGTGTGTGCACTAACACACACCGTGTCCACTTTACACACATTGCATCCAATACACAAACACACCCTATATCTACTTTACACACACCGCATCCCTGTGGGTGGGCTTGGAGGTGGGCCCTGAGGGATTGCTCAATATCATACTATGGCTTTCAATATCATTTATACACTGATGATACCCAGACCTACCTTTTCTCCCCTGATCTGATTTTGACCGGACGACTTCATGAGTCGTAAAACTCAACCTCTTGTCTTTCCTCCCTTTCAGGCTACATCTGGACCTGTTTCCCTCAAGTTCAACAGAGCTATACCCCACAGTTGTATTGTCTTGGTGTGCTCTTTGATTCCGACCTTTCCTTTATCCCTAACATAAAATATATCACCAAATCCTGTTGCTTTCATCTTAATAAAATTTCTCAACCAGGATGCAACTGACATGCTTGTCCAGGCTCTATTTTCTTCCCGTCTTGATTATTGTAACTCTCTACTTATTGGTGCCCATATAGCCTGTCTACAGCCCATAATGAATACCTCTGCCAGGCTCATCTAATTTAAGTCCATCAACTCTCACACCTCACCCCTCTGTCAGTCTCTACACCGACTTTCTCTTTCATCTAGGATATGGTTCAAAGATTTCATGCTTACTTACAAAGCTCTCCATACACCTTGCTTATATCTCCACCCTCATTATCAGATATGATCCAAAGTGAAGAGGTCGCTCTTCACTCCGTCAACGACCTGTTACAGTCCCTTTATTGCATCCGCAGCCC